GGAATTAAATTTTTACAATATATTAATTGTCATTGCCAGTCTTACGCACCGATGATGATCAAACGAAAAATTCGCTGTCAGTCCCTAGAATCCACACCGTCCAAACGAAAAGTCTACTGTCAGTTCCTAGGGATTGACGCCGCCTGAACGGAAAGTTCACTGTCAGTCCCTAGGGACTGACGTAGCACTCAACGTGTTAAGTCATCAAGTCGTTCAGTTATTAAATTGTTAAACCATAGTGATTTTGTACCACAAGCAAGAATAAACCTCCACTGTCTAAAAGCAAAGCCTGAAGAGTGAACTTAGTGAATTTCTCCTTGAAACCTCGTCCCAATTCGCAATCATCGCCGAAGAACGAGTCAACTGCCGGCCCAAGACAGCAGATCGTGACAATTGAGAACGCCCAGAATCCGGACCTCTGAGGAGTCATCTAACACCAAACCCGGACCTCAAGAGGCACTACCCAACATCTCCGAAGTATTATCACCAACGCCCACCAATACCTCCAGCGACCGTGTGAGTATCGGCCCAGCCGTCGAATCCTGTAAACGCGACGCAGTCTCACGCGACTAGAACCCTTGGTCCCCGACCAGACGTTGACGTACGTGCAACGTGGGGTCTAAAGGCGAAGGAAATTTAGACTTCACAAGCGGGTACCCGTGCGTCCGTGGCTTTTGTGCCCGGTAATTATAACCCAGATCGTGACACTATCATTTAGTGACAAAATTTATTTCGCAAACACATTCGTGCATTTATAAAGTGCAGTTACATATGTTATTCAATCTTACAATTCTTAGAATCATTTCGTGTATAGGTAAAAAGTACAGTAAGATAATTGAAAATGTAATAAAAATATTTCGTATGACTATTCATATACCTATTGCATGTAAACTGTTTATATGTTATATATTTTCATTGTTATTATGTTATTACATATTCGTATTATACTTTCATGATCCAACTTACATATAAAGATATTACAATTTCATATTTTAAATAGCGCAAGCCGTGTTAAGCGATGTCCAATAGTAATTATATTTTTGTAAATATATAATTGCATTAATTATATATACGTAGCGATGCTGCACAAAATAAAACAACAATGGCGAGGAGGTTCAAATGCTGACAGGGTTTAGACAGTCCCTAAAAGGAAAAAATCTAAACAGTCGTGTAAAACATAACAACAGTCGGGATAAGGAGATCTCTCGTAGACCTCACCAAGGCGTTACACGTTAAAGATGACCGAGACGAAGACACGTAAAAAAATTTAGTTAAAATCGAGCACTCGAACAGGAAACACGAATAATATATAATTACATAATACAATTATCTTTATACAATATAAGTTATAAATAATCTATACGATATAAGCACATAATTTGTATCGTGATTAATGAAATTAGAAAATAAGGTTCATTGATTACTGTGTAAATTATAATTACTTCATGAAATATAACTCGCGTAACTTATTTAAATAAATATTCATTTCGTCAACAGTCATCATGATTAATCTAATTATATTAAAGATTCTGTCAATTTAGGACAATTCTTGCTTCTATTAAGAAAAAATAAAAATTATAGAAATTTCTATAATCTCATCTTTGATCGTGTTAACTCATTTGTCAGCTTCGAGCGTTAAATTCAAGCATCTATATCTTTGTTCTCTTGTTGATTTTCATTTGCGTTACTATCCTAAACTGAGTTTGACATATGATAGTCTCTTGCTTGAATTATTGTCTGAAGATTGAAAGAGAGGATGGCGGAGTCTATATTGATTAATTTTGGGGGATTTTCCATTAATATGGCATCTTTAAACTGATTATTTGTAAAATACAAAACGATAAAAAAATTAAAACATACATGTAAATTAAATAAAACATCTGTTAGTATTAACACCTTGACTGCTATGCAAGGTTTACATGACGCTACTTAACAGTGCGGTTCAAATTGTATAATATATCATGTTTTAATTAAAATTCTTAATCGTTGAATATGTTTCGTAATTTCAATAACTTTAATAATTTAAATTACTCTTATTGAGAAAACAAATTTCAATCCAAAGCAGTCAATGCGTTAAAAAACAAATTTATTAACGAAAATTAAACTCAAATAGATTTCCTTCCTGAAGAAGTAATAAACTATTTATTTATACAAAATTATGTTTCATAGAAAATAAAATTAATTGTGAACGAAATTAATAATATGACTCTGACGTTAGTTTCGTATGGTATTATCACACTTCATTGTTCATTGCTTCGTCATACTATCCACCATAGCTTTGAATGCCTTTACTCCAGCGTTGTTGTATTCTTCGTATTTCGGTGCTTCTGACTTCATCTTTGCAAACCACCTGGTAACATTCTTGTATTTGCTCAAGTCGTAGTCGAGAACCTGTTGCAAAAACGATATATCAAATAAACGTGATATGATGTACAAGAAATTTTAAGTACGTATTCTAGTCTAGAACTTCGACAAAATCGAGTTCATTTTACTTCATATGCTGAAAGTATATGCTCTTGAAAATATTTCTGTCAATGAATATTACAAGATTTGCAAAATGAAGGAAGTTACAAGCATTTGTCCGCAACGTGTTTGGTTTTTATCCTTCCTTTATATTTTCTTTTTTTCTTTTTTGACAGTTTAAGGATTTGAATCTCGAAAAGAAGTCTCTTTTAATTCTTTATTAAACAGCTTCAGATATTTATGTACTGAATTATTTGTAATGTTCAACTTATCACTAATTGCTGAGCAGATTGATTGTATATAATTATACATATTCATATGAGAAATGAAAAATTTTAAACGCGATTTTCTCGAAACCAAATTTTTGTAAATGTAAATATCGTTGTCACGATATATCAAGTTTAACACCAAACTTGGCGGGAATCTTCAACAGCCTGCACCTTTATTAACTGAACCAAAATTTCCAAAATCCGATAAACGGAAAATATACTTACTATTTTTGTAACACGTCAAAGATAAAGAAAAGTTGATAATGTAATTTTAATATGCTGCTAAATTACATCAAGTCGTTCAGTTATTAAATTGTTAAACCATAGTGATTTTGTACCACAAGCAAGAATAAACCTCCACTGTCTAAAAGCAAAGCCTGAAGAGTGAACTTAGTGAATTTCTCCTTGAAACCTCGTCCCAATTCGCAATCATCGCCGAAGAACGAGTCAACTGCCGGCCCAAGACAGCAGATCGTGACAATTGAGAACGCCCAGAATCCGGACCTCTGAGGAGTCATCTAACACCAAACCCGGACCTCAAGAGGCACTACCCAACATCTCCGAAGTATTATCACCAACGCCCACCAATACCTCCAGCGACCGTGTGAGTATCGGCCCAGCCGTCGAATCCTGTAAACGCGACGCAGTCTCACGCGACTAGAACCCTTGGTCCCCGACCAGACGTTGACGTACGTGCAACGTGGGGTCTAAAGGCGAAGGAAATTTAGACTTCACAAGCGGGTACCCGTGCGTCCGTGGCTTTTGTGCCCGGTAATTATAACCCAGATCGTGACACTATCATTTAGTGACAAAATTTATTTCGCAAACACATTCGTGCATTTATAAAGTGCAGTTACATATGTTATTCAATCTTACAATTCTTAGAATCATTTCGTGTATAGGTAAAAAGTACAGTAAGATAATTGAAAATGTAATAAAAATATTTCGTATGACTATTCATATACCTATTGCATGTAAACTGTTTATATGTTATATATTTTCATTGTTATTATGTTATTACATATTCGTATTATACTTTCATGATCCAACTTACATATAAAGATATTACAATTTCATATTTTAAATAGCGCAAGCCGTGTTAAGCGATGTCCAATAGTAATTATATTTTTGTAAATATATAATTGCATTAATTATATATACGTAGCGATGCTGCACAAAATAAAACAACAATGGCGAGGAGGTTCAAATGCTGACAGGGTTTAGACAGTCCCTAAAAGGAAAAAATCTAAACAGTCGTGTAAAACATAACAACAGTCGGGATAAGGAGATCTCTCGTAGACCTCACCAAGGCGTTACACGTTAAAGATGACCGAGACGAAGACACGTAAAAAAATTTAGTTAAAATCGAGCACTCGAACAGGAAACACGAATAATATATAATTACATAATACAATTATCTTTATACAATATAAGTTATAAATAATCTATACGATATAAGCACATAATTTGTATCGTGATTAATGAAATTAGAAAATAAGGTTCATTGATTACTGTGTAAATTATAATTACTTCATGAAATATAACTCGCGTAACTTATTTAAATAAATATTCATTTCGTCAACAGTCATCATGATTAATCTAATTATATTAAAGATTCTGTCAATTTAGGACAATTCTTGCTTCTATTAAGAAAAAATAAAAATTATAGAAATTTCTACAATCTCATCTTTGATCGTGTTAACTCATTTGTCAGCTTCGAGCGTTAAATTCAAGCATCTATATCTTTGTTCTCTTGTTGATTTTCATTTGCGTTACTATCCTAAACTGAGTTTGACATATGATAGTCTCTTGCTTGAATTATTGTCTGAAGATTGAAAGAGAGGATGGCGGAGTCTATATTGATTAATTTTGGGGGATTTTCCATTAATATGGCATCTTTAAACTGATTATTTGTAAAATACAAAACGATAAAAAAATTAAAACATACATGTAAATTAAATAAAACATCTGTTAGTATTAACACCTTGACTGCTATGCAAGGTTTACATGACGCTACTTAACAGTGCGGTTCAAATTGTATAATATATCATGTTTTAATTAAAATTCTTAATCGTTGAATATGTTTCGTAATTTCAATAACTTTAATAATTTAAATTACTCTTATTGAGAAAACAAATTTCAATCCAAAGCAGTCAATGCGTTAAAAAACAAATTTATTAACGAAAATTAAACTCAAATAGATTTCCTTCCTGAAGAAGTAATAAACTATTTATTTATACAAAATTATGTTTCATAGAAAATAAAATTAATTGTGAACGAAATTAATAATATGACTCTGACGTTAGTTTCGTATGGTATTATCACACTTCATTGTTCATTGCTTCGTCATACTATCCACCATAGCTTTGAATGCCTTTACTCCAGCGTTGTTGTATTCTTCGTATTTCGGTGCTTCTGACTTCATCTTTGCAAACCACCTGGTAACATTCTTGTATTTGCTCAAGTCGTAGTCGAGAACCTGTTGCAAAAACGATATATCAAATAAACGTGATATGATGTACAAGAAATTTTAAGTACGTATTCTAGTCTAGAACTTCGACAAAATCGAGTTCATTTTACTTCATATGCTGAAAGTATATGCTCTTGAAAATATTTCTGTCAATGAATATTACAAGATTTGCAAAATGAAGGAAGTTACAAGCATTTGTCCGCAACGTGTTTGGTTTTTATCCTTCCTTTATATTTTCTTTTTTTCTTTTTTGACAGTTTAAGGATTTGAATCTCGAAAAGAAGTCTCTTTTAATTCTTTATTAAACAGCTTCAGATATTTATGTACTGAATTATTTGTAATGTTCAACTTATCACTAATTGCTGAGCAGATTGATTGTATATAATTATACATATTCATATGAGAAATGAAAAATTTTAAACGCGATTTTCTCGAAACCAAATTTTTGTAAATGTAAATATCGTTGTCACGATATATCAAGTTTAACACCAAACTTGGCGGGAATCTTCAACAGCCTGCACCTTTATTAACTGAACCAAAATTTCCAAAATCCGATAAACGGAAAATATACTTACTATTTTTGTAACACGTCAAAGATAAAGAAAAGTTGATAATGTAATTTTAATATGCTGCTAAATTTTTTATTTTCGACATTTTCGGGCAATTTTGGCTTACACTCTAGCTACGTTTATATTAAAATGATGTTTAATTATTTTGTTTCTAGCAGTCAGTATGATCGGAATCGTGGCAAGCGTGCAGATATTTTTAATAAAAAGAATTGTGCTGAAGCAACTATATCTCCTGTGGTTACCAACATTTTTATGTTAAAAGAATTCTATATATTCGTGAAATATTGCTGAAAAATATGCGAAAAAATTTGATACATAAATGTTACCGTTTTTTAAAAAATAATTTCAAAAGCACCCAAAAAATTGCGGTCTACTAGGATACCCCTTTAAACTGTTGTTCGCTCCAAAATTATTTTTCGCTTTTTGTTTCTATGCATCGATGGCGGTGTTACCATTACAGATATATCTTGTTATTTATAATTTGTAATCTGCGCTTCTCTTGTCTTTCTCTTTGCTATAGGATACTTCATAGCATACGAATACTTTCCACAGCAAGAAAAGGATATTGAATGAAAAACGCGAAAGAATGTGTAGTCGAAGATTGAACGATCCGTAACTACGAATTTTCTTTGAGCACAGTATGATGACGTATTATATAAGAGAAGATATCAACGATCTTGTGTAGCACGTGATTAATCTTGTTTATTATAAAGATTAAGTCATTTACTCAGCGATGAAATTTTATTTCTTTTATTTGAATATTACTATCTTTTATATTTTGTTTATTTACTAATATCGTAATATCGTAATATATTTTCGCATAAATGTTAATTTAATAAATATTTTTGAATACGTTTGAATAAATATATTTAGAAACAAAAGTTAAGAAACCGAATAATAACTTGAGAATTTTGGTATATTCTTCATATGCTGAAACACATAGATTACGATTAAAAATAGGCTTTAATAAGATAGGCTAAAACTTATTGCTTATTAATGTGTAAGATTCTTATTCCTTTTTCTATTTTCAATTTTTAATATATATTAAAGGATTAAAAGTATACAAAAATTCACAAATGATTATTCAGTTTCTTAATTTTTATCGATAAGTGTATTAAAAAATTACCAGTTAGTGTATCCAAATTGATAAGTGCATTTGTTAATAAGTGTCCACTGATAAAGGTTCTTTTTATAAATAATATGTTTGTTACGTTAGATATCAGTTAGGAATCTGTTTTCGTTTTTGACTTATAAATTATGAATAGTATACGATATGTAGGTGCATTTAAGAAGTAACGTTACTGATAAATACGAGGCTCATCATTGACTGTGTTAGAATTTCATATTTCTTCGGTAAATTATCAAGGTCAAAACATCTTAAGCCGAGAATAAATAGTATATTACCATGTGTGTTGAATTTGTAACTGTGATATTACGTAATCGTTCGTGTTACCTTTTAAACCAATCTTATGAGGGGGACGATAATTTGAAGTACTAAGATAAGTAAAGCAAGTGATAAAAATTTTAAACGACTGTAAATATCGAGTACTTATGACAAACTTTCAAGTATCATAACATGAATATAAATATCGAATCAGATAACCAGTTAAGTGGGAGTGGAAATTTACCTATCCTCGGATTTCGTTGATAATTATTTTAGTAGTATTTCTCGAATTTACTAAATATAAAAATTGTTGAATTCCTTTTTGTACTGCGGCCACTACATATAATAGTATATACTATATTTGTACTCATGTTTTATGGAAAAATGGTGAAATCGTAATTCTGTTAAAATTATACTTTATTATCTCTTATCCATTTTCCGTTTTGATCTAAATATTTTATCTCTCCTCCTCGCTTATTGCATTTTAATAGCATATGCCATCAGAATATAAATTAACGTGTTAAATAGATCGAAAAATGTTACAAGTAGCAAAGAACGTGTTTGAATTTTATTGAAAATATGACACGAATTAACATTAGAACTATTAAAGTGGTCAAAATAATGTTTTGGATATTTTAAATTTACAATTTCTGAGAAGGTATAGTCCCCTTGGACAAAATTAATTTTTACTTTTATTTAGATAGAAACGTGATCATATATACCTATTTATCTTCATCATACTACATTAATTATTACAGTTTACGTATGATATACGAAAATTAACGTAACTTCTTTGACCGTTTCGCTTCTAGTAAATTGGTCTTTTCTGTCTTCAGTAACACAGTTAACTTAATAAAAATCAGATATCATTATTTTCTCGTTATTCTTCCACATTCTGGCATTTACTACAAAATAATTTTGTATTCTTTCCCT